TCTATATGGCTGTGCAAATAATAAATTACTTAAAAACTAGATACTTTACAAAACAAAGTTTAACGACAGCATTGGTGCAGTAAAATCAACTCCAATTGGACCATTTAGAGTAGAATAATCCTGATCAGCAATGCGTGGCATTAGGAGCGGTGGCATCCTTGGGTGGCGAGAGAGAGATCATTCTCCCTACTGATGCCACCCAATATGTTACTTCGTCGATTTATAATATTTTTAAACTGTTTGTCCTTGTGTCGTGTTGTGTTAATGTATCATTTAATGTTTATGACATTCTCCAGATATTGTTGGATAGCCCAATTTTTAGACAGATACATCAAAACATCCTTATGGCATAGCTATAGCTTTTGTTGTACCACTGTAAGTACAACGCACATTTAAATTTAGTAAGAAAATATCATTTTTTATAGCAGAAGCTTTTGCCGTTATAAGCTATAGAATTTATAATATGTATAGAGTATTCCCTGATCAACTCCGCATATAACCATCCTTTTAAAACCAAAATAAAAACGTTGCTATCGCGAATTCAAGAAACTATAATAAATGAAAATGAGCAGTATACATGACAACCGTTAGACAAAGAGAATTATTGAATGACGAGAAAGAGCAAATAGTACATATATTTGCCAAATTTTTTTCTCAAAGTTCTTTATGGAAGTTAAAAGAGTCGAATTTTAAATGTAACAGTTCTGCTCTCTCGTGCCCAATAACAAACTCTAAATTGAAATAAACAACGAAATGTTTATTTTTTTTTTTTGAGAAATCTGCCACATTTGTAAGGCAAAAATAGCAGCGTGTTTCGTGGTTTTTTAGTTGTCTTCATATAGTGTCTCATCTAAAACATCGATTTGCGGATTACATTAAGCCAATTATGTTATTCACGATGTGTAGTTGATAGATGTGTCACATATTATTTTTGATGTATGTCATATGATAGAATTTGGCGAATATCCAATATAGAATCGATGAAGAAAAAAGAATGATTAAGTTCTTGTACATCGAGTTGTATTTTTTACTTCTAAACGTAAAATATTTATTTTAGATAACTCATCGTTTATCTTCAGGTATGATACCTTATAATTATAAACTTGCAAATTGTGTAGTAATAAATAAAACTTTGTTATTTTCAGAGTAACTCAATTTGGTTATTAAAAACTCTACTCCCAACTTTTCCATATAAAAATATATGATTTTAAAGAAAATTGTAGTTTGTTTCCCATAAATATAGTAATTTATTATGACAAGCAGAAATATAATATTCTATTGTGCCAGTGTAACGTAACCAACAAAGACAACTGAATAATTTCATTATTTCTTTATTATAAAAAGATAATAAATCGTTTCTTTGTTATAATAGACGATAGAGTTGTTTGCCTGATGTGTGATGAACAAAGTCCGTAACTATGACTGACGGACAGTGGTGAATTGGGGCTGTTAACTTGTTTGTGTTCAAAGTAAGTTCGAACTAAGTTGGTTCAGTTGATCATTGTTGTGAGGTAGTGTTTTATTTTGAGTTACACTGCATTTTTTATTGTTTTGTTACCATGTCCGAGAAAAGAAAAAAAATTGTATTGACGATTAATCAAAAGTTAGAACTCTAAGTAAAATTGAAAACGGTGCTTTCCGTAAACTAATGTGCCTTCAGTACGGTATCGGTTAGTGGGTGAAGAAAAGAAAAACAAAGAGAATCTCGTCTGACGTAGAATTAGAGACAGCGTTGGTAGAATGGATAGCACAAGTTCGTAACATGGGTACATCCATATTAGCTCCAAAAATGCTGTAAAAGCAAAACAGTTTTTTGGCATGTTGGGCTTAGAAGGAAATTTTGATGCATCATCTGGTTGGTTGACTCGTTTTAAGCAAAGCCATGGGATAAAGGAGATATGACTTCATGAAGAGAAGATCAGCGATGTTCAACAGGTAGCTGAAGAATTTAAATGTGAGTTGGAAGAGTTCCTTTTTTTAAATGATTTGAGCTATAAACAAATTTATAAGGCACACACAGAAATCGGGCCCCAAATAAACAAATCACTATTATGTCTTTCAGCAACGCTACAGGAAGTCACAAACTGAAGTTGTGATGATGATTGACAAGTCAAAAAAGCCAAGATTAGAGCGGAAAAAAGATTTCTTTAACCAAAGGAAAGAGTGGATGGACTAAAATATTTTAAGAGTGGTTCGAAGTCAAATTTATACCAGAAGTCAAAAATATTTAAAAGCTAACAATTTGCCACAAAAAGCTGTGTTGTTGATTGACAACGTTCTGAAACGCATAAGTATACTTAAATCTGCTGATAAAAAATAGAAAGGCGTCTATAAAGAGAAACTACAGAACAAAGTTACTTCTCTCAAAAATTAAAAAAGGATATGACTTCAAAGAGTTTTGGAAGTCATTTACTATTCTCGACTCTATTTACGAAATCACATCTGCATGGGAGTCTGTAAAGTCTTTACCAATTGTAAAGTCATAGAGAAAATTGTTACAAAACATCGAAAATTGTGTCTAACTAGCGGTTGGAGAATATGAAAATAAACTGCCTGTCCTTACAAGTTTAATGAACTCAGTTCCTGGTGGAGAGTAGGGACGCAGCAAATCTATAAGAGTGGTTAGACTGCATTGCTACCGACCCTAGATTTAAGCTTTTAACGGGTGAGGACATCCTAAGAAAGCCTGGTGGACAAGCGACTCACGAAGCGACCTTATGTTAAGTGAATGAACTTCTAGAATACCAAGAGGGCCAGGACGATGCGTTATTCGCTGAAAAACTGGTGCTGCGTAAAGTGCAATGTAGAATAAGAAACAAAAACAAATGACAGACTACTTTTAAAAAGTGTAAAAATGTAAATTCACATTGAAAATTGTAAATTAAAGCTTTAGATCGAACTACATTTTTATTTTTTGCATTTATGTATTTGACTTCCAGTTAAGGCTTATCCACGATTTTCGTTATTCGCGATAACAGTGCCACTTAACTCCACGGACAAAAGGGAGTTGGCTGTATACAAAATACTCCTCCCAAATCGTATGGCTTACAACCTGGCCATCACCGCGCAGAAAAGAACAAGAGTAGACCCTCAAGGCCATAAAGAACTCAAATACACAGAGAAACTTATCTACTTCAGTGTCACGGTAAACAGGTCGCTGATGTATAGACACTAATGCGATAAAATACTACATAGAGTGGCAGCCAGAAACAACATCCTCAGAAAACACGCCAATAGCAAAGGGGGCCAGCCCGACCGTTTTGGCCGCGCGATTTACTATTCTTCAGCAGAGTATGTCTGCATAGTTTGTTTCAGAGCGATCTACGACAAGAAAGTTAAAGTCATCATAAATGAAATACGCAAACTTACAACAGGCTATATGAAGCCAACTCCAATAGAAAAACTCCACAAAGTCGCAAGCTTTGCTAGTCTCAATAATTGCAAAAAAACTCACGAATTTATGAAACGAACCACGCAGATAATTAATGAACGCAATCGTCTCTATGAAGCCGAGTACCAATCCAAAAGACTTCTGGTCTTTATACAAAAGCATATGATGGAGTATCTTAAAAGATTCTGTACGAGGTACGGGAAGAAGGATTGCATAAAGTGCTTAGTGTTTAGTCCCTGATGAATATCGTCAGCACATTTCTTGGTGCTTAGTGTATACTAATGATGTCGTATTAGTGATGTATTTAAAAGTATTAATCAGGAATTTGAAAAAGTCGGGAACAATGAAGAAAATTTTTAAAGACAAAAGGCAAGAGAGATTATCTAGAAAGTTCATTTAAAGAAGAAGAAATATAACTGTAAATATGACAGTAAATTTAAATGGCAACATAAATGTAAATTTTGTTTGTATGATAAAAGTATTTAAAATCGGTATTATAGAACCATAAGGAAATATATGGAGAAACATTCAGACGACATAGAGCTGGAAGAATAAACTGGAAGGAGGTGAGTGGTGTGCTCTCTAAGGGTAAAATTTAAGAGAAGAAGAATATATATGAGTTATCTAGCTAAAATAGGATGAAATAACAAGTGAATTTATGGAAGTATAAATATGGCATTGACTGATGCCGAAATTGGAGCGAATGGCATGTTCAACACCGAAATAAAAAATTCAACCCAATAGGAATAATCACCGAATGTCAAGTCACTAGAGGAAATAGGAGGGGAAGGGCAAAGAAGAGATTGTGGAACACCTTTAGACAAAATATAAACATTATGAAGAGCTATAATTGAACAATCCATCTCTGGATATGCATAAATGTAAAGAGAATGATAATGAGTTATTGCACCAAATTGGTATTTTTTTTATAGATAATATTTATGATGAACCTTGGTAGAGCCTATTATGACTTATGGGGCAGAGGTTTGGCAGATAACGCAGAAGGATAGAAAAAGAATAGAAGTAGTAGAAATGGATTTTCTAAGGAGAGCGTGTGGTATATCCAAAAAAGATCACATCAGGAATGAAGATATTAGAAGGAGGACAAATACTGTATATTCCAGTGTAGATAGAATTGAAACGAGACAACTAGTGTGGTATGGTCACGTGAAACGAATGAATGAAGATAGATGGCCAAAGAAAGCTTTAAATTACATACCACAACAAAGAAGAAGAAGGGGAAGGCCTTCAGTTGCCTGGGAAGAAAATGTACGGCACATAATGAGAGATAGAGCCATCAGAGAAGACGAATGGATGGACAGAAAACGATGGCGGTCGAAATGCGAGAAACGGCAGAGGCTGTAGGAACCTCGCTTATATATATATATATATATATATATATATATATATATATATATATATATATATATATATATATATATATATATTTATGATCAGCTATATTCGAGGGTAATTAGGTAAGTTATAGTGGACCAGCACATACTTCTCAAATCATATTTTAAATAAACTATTTAATTGGCGATAGCACTTAGCTTAATTTTTTGGGTCTAGTTTTATTTTTATTGTAGTTATTAAAGGAAAGACAATATTATACTAAAAATACATTTATTTGTCACCGTATTCATAAAAAAATATACAAAAATATATAAAATATATAACATACACTTATATTGCACGATATTTACAACATGGAACAGTTTTTGATAAAACTAGAAAATCCTTATTAATACGGCGAACAGTTTAGAGTCTTTACACAAGAATTTCGCAGCTCGACCAAAAACAGCACCATAAGATTCGATTTGATCAAAAGACAAATCGATATTATAGCGCTACCAGATGGTACAAAAAGGTAACTCGTTATACGAGTTTGATTTTTGTATCAAACAGCAGACATACCAGCATCACCATTCACTTTTTGGAGGTAATAGCTACAGATTGCTACAATACAAATTCTCCACTGGACTGTATTTTTCATGTTTTACCAAACTTTGCGCGCCTTTAGACGTCACCTCATAACCAATTGCCTTATTTTTTGGGGGGTGGATGGTCAGCTATTCGACAACGATTACCTTGGATCATTCCAATGAACGCATCTCAGTTTAGGTCCTAAAATCTACAATACTATGGGTAAAATACAAATAGCGGATGAAGTGGTTTGCAGCAAACTGTAGTGCAGCAGTTACGAGAAAGCAACCACTGCAGAGGTAACTTAGTAAGAAAATTAGTATGGACCGGATTTGCCTGGTGGGCCGTAGCTGGATGAAATACCACCACCGGATCCACCGCCGATTCCACCTCCAATACCTCCTCCGATGCCGCTTCCAATTCCGCCTCCGTGACCGCCTCCGATTCCACCTCCGATGCCTCCTCCAATACCATCACCTAGAAATAAAAATTGATTGAGAAATGAATCGACACAATATAAATAGCTGCACGATCGACATAAAATATAAATCGATTATTATGTAAATAAATACTTAATCGATTTAATATATCGATTGCATGTTATGAATACCTCAATATTAACGACTTACCTCCTCCGATTCCTCCGCCGATTCCTCCTCCAATACCACCTCCAATACCACCTCCAATACCGCCTCCAATGCCACCGCCAATACCGCTTCCACCTCCGAATCCAGTTCCACCGCCAGCGGTTTTCTGCAATAGAAAAAGAAATTTTAACTCTGTCAGGACGGAATAGATTGAACAAAAATGTTAATAAGACTCATTCAATTTTCTTTTAAATAGAATAAATCGGAATCTGAAATAGGTCTGTCAATAAACAAAAAAGACTAAATCCTAGTACGAAGTCGATCGAAGAAAGCAGCACGACCCTACCTGACAGTTGACAGCTTAGAAAAAGTAGAACAGCTTTAATCTATTTAGGAGTCAACATTACATTGGAAAGAGGACAATGTTTCCAACATCGTCGGAAACATTGAAGCCAATATGGCATACTTCGCTATGAACCGGATATTTAAATCACGAGACATACATCAAAGGACTAAGATACGAATCTTAAAAACCATAATCCGACCGATAGTGAGCTAGGATGTAAAACTTAGATAACTCAAAAATCTCTAAACCGCATGTACATATTTGAAAGAAAGGTACTGAGACGAATAATAGGCCCTATAAATGAGAACAACAAGTGGGGAATCAATGAACAGGCCATGTATTTAGAATGGAAGAAAATAGGCGTCCAAAAAAACTGTTTAATGCAAGAATGCAGGGGAAGAGACCTATTTAAAGACCAAGAAAGCGATGAGAGGATGACGTGGAAGAGGGCGCAAGAAGTCTTCTTGGTAGTCGATCGTGAAGGAGATTGGTTACAGACTGTAACCAATGGAGAGGTTTTACTAATGAGAAACCAAAATCAGAGTTAAGTAAAAGGTAGTTAAAACTATAGAAATGGATGTACTTAGAACTGCCAGGAAGTCTTTCTCTAAAGAACTAAGCACAAAGAACATTAAAAAACGATTAAAAATGGCGCAGAATGTAGAAAGAACTGTAGTAGAATGGGCCGAAGTGACCACCCAAGAGGTGGTTCAAAAGATAAATATAAGCATAACGAAAACTAAAATGGGAGTAAAAGAAAAATTCCAGAAAGTAGATTAATAGAACATCGGCTTATGAGTTATCAATATGCAATAAATGAACATTTTTGGTAAAATCAATAGGTTCAAGCATGGTAATGGTCTTGCTGTCGACTTGCTATGCCCTTAGACATAGGAGTATCCGCTTTAAGTGCTCTAATCCATAACAGTAGTATTATAACAGAGATTATTATCAGCAGGATCATGAAAAAAATCAAATATATTCAACAATTTAGACAACTTCTAAAACATTATATTAAGATTATATAGAATAAGAGTTTCTTATTAAGAAATCCAAATATAATAATTATTTTTCACCATCATCAAACATGGTAGACTATTACCTTCTAATTAAGAATAAAAATCTGTAATTAATCTCCAATCTGAGCATCAAAGCTACCGCTGTTACTCTCCCTATTATTAAGAACAAGACGGAAACTGGTGTTACGAGACGTTGGTTACATAAAGAATATCCGATAGCGTCGCCTTGGGCGATCCATCGCATCGGAGATCACTCACTGACCCATAAACGGTAGGAGAATCTCGCATTCTTTGTCGTCCATCACCATGCGAGGCGAGCAGCTGGTTCACTACTTTCATTTGTTTCTTGACCTCTGGCTTCCGCGTGAGGATCTGCCGAGTATTCTCTTGAAAAAACAAACGATGCTAAACGGGTATTTCACGTAAGAAAGTCAATTATTGGTTACTTTCTCCGTGAATATATTAAACAGATGATTGGTATATTGGTTTTAAATGAGGGTCGATTTTTGAGAAAGTTTGAAAAATCGTGAAAATGTTTATTCGAAATTGAGGAAGTAAATATGTGAAATGAGTCAAAGTAAAGAGATGTTTATGGCAATTATTTGAGCTATTTGGAATAAATGGAGTGGTGCATTAAATATTTCGTATTTTGAAAGATGTGTAGGATACAATTGGCTAAATTTGCCTGCTAGTAATTTTACAAAGTCGATATCCAACAATAAGACTATCAGTAAGACGTCACCAAACTTAATATGTGATTAACAGAGAGAGTAGCCAATTATTAACATAAAATGATTAACAGAGAGGATTATCAGAAGGTAATGCAACCTACCCTATGTACATACAAGCATTCCTGTACATTAGCAGTGATTTTAATTATAAAAGGAATTATAGTGTGTAAAATGTATAGTGAACTGGGATGGATAAATAAAGAAGTTATAGAGTACTTGATCATTCAAAAAATTATGTCTAGCAGTGGATGATTGATCATATATTAAGGGATCATATAGAGGGAGAAAAAAAGATTATAAAGAAGAATACTGATATTAAATACCAATAGATTTGTCAATCTTTAATAACTAAATACTAAGTGCCTTATTCGCTTATTTAGTGTAGTTAGGTTTGGTCTTGAACAATTTATGTGTTTCTAAAACGAGGTCATACTTTTTTTTTTCTGAAAATTGCCAACTTTTTCTATTGTATAAACTATATTGTAAATGACACTCGTTTAGCCACATATCCTTTAGAAATGCATTTTTAATGTCCAATGCCATTTTCTAATCAAAAAATCCGACATCTGACTCACATCTGAGGTGAAAGCCATGAACTGTAAAACCATATCCCCTTGACCTCCAGTTGCCATCCATTTGTTTATGTAATTATAGAAAATCGGAACTCCTTGTAGAAGAAAGTGTTTGTTGTGGGATGTTATAAACGCGGTTTTATTGCTTTTGCGAATTATCACAGCAGTAACTCTCGTAAGTCCATTAGCACCTTCTTGTAGGTCACAATCATTTGAATATCTACTGACTTTCTTGAGGAAGTACGACACTTTATGAATCTTGTTTCATATCTAAACTTTCTTTTTAGTCATCGGAATTAGGTATTCCTCTACAAAGTTCGGAAAATACAAAAAGTGGTTATGTAATATATAAAACAGGTCTTGTAAAAAATGTTACTCTGATGGATTGGTTCCGGCTACGACGAATTAGATAATAACCGTATGATGTGATCTAGACATGAATGGACAAAAAAAATTGCAATGAGAAATTTATGAATATAATACAACCTAAAGATATTAACTCTCTATACTCTTTTAATATTATTATCTTCTATCAAGAAAGTGTCGCAAGATGTTAAAAAGTAAGTTAAGTATATTAAAAAAATAGAATAGACATGATTTAAAATATAAATATATTATTACATAATCTTTGGAAACTAAAGGACTAAAGGGCGTAAAGCAAATATTTTTAAAGTTACAAAAAGATAAATCTTCATAAAAATTTGTCAATATATTTCTTGAAATTGAATCGGGCACTAAGAAGCAGATCACATAATGAAATTTGTGACAGACTCTGAGTATGAGGCTTTGATACTAATGGCTGAAGACGAGTTATATCCAAAAATTTTAAATATTTGGTTCTAGATGTACGAAAGTTAAAAAAACTTTGTATTAAAGGTAACAAAGAATTTGAAATTTATTGTTATGAGATGGCTTAAGTCCGTATTTTCTTTTTACCTATGCCGAACAACTTACCTGGGTCTTGTATCTGATGAAGTATACTTCTGGTTTGCTGGGTTGTGTTGGAGCAGCAGTAGGAATGCTGATTTCGGGTCCTTCCTCTGGTTTCTTGACCAAAACGTAGACCAAGGTCTTCTCTTCGTTTTGTGGTTGTAGTGGGATTACTGGAGCAGTTGGGGCGGGTGCGCTTGGGGCCTTAATGAAGATGATTTTGTAATGTTTCTGGGCTTGTCCAACGGAGATTGGTCTTTGAGGTCTGAATTCTTCAGGTTCTGGTGGGGGAACGTGGACGTAGATGTGCTTTTGGATGGTAGTGGTGCCACCTCCGAAACCGCCTCCGAATCCACCTCCGAATCCACCGTCACCGCCGCCTCCAATTCCACCTCCGAAGCCTAAAACAATAATTATTATCCGTACAGTTTTATTCTGAAATTATTAAAATTATGAAAAATATAATTGCAGTCTGAAGTAAAAAAGAAGATTGAGATACTACGATGAAATCTAAATTATTTTCTATTTTTTAATTTGTTTAAGCTTATGCTGTTCTAATTTATGAGATGTAAGGCTAACTCACCTCCTCCGGATCCACCGCCAAATCCGCCTCCGGATCCACCGCCAAATCCACCTCCGGATCCACCGCCAAATCCACCTCCAATTCCGCTTCCGATACCACCTCCGATACCGCCTCCTCCGATTCCGCCACCTCCGTGGCCGCCGCCACCGAATCCACCGCCTCCACCACCGAATCCGCTACCTCCGCTTATGCCTGTAACAAAAGAACTTTTTAATGTATGGTCTTCCTAATAAGAACAACTATAACGTAAGAAAAAATGTATATTTTTTTGCGTCTCAGTGTAGAATTTGATAGATTTTAAATGTAGAACTTACCACCGCCTCCGTGTCCACCCCCAATTCCGCCTCCAAAGCCTCCACCGCCACCAGATGGAGCTCCGTAGGAGCCGGAGGGTGGGCTGTAACTGTAACCTGCCTCAGGTCTGGCACTGGCAAGAGCCATCAAGGTGGATAATAACTGAAAAGAAATAGAGATTATCAAATTATTCCCAAATATGTTTAAAACAAATGGGGTTTAAAAGATTTATGCAAAATTGGATAAAAGGTACCAACGATAGATCATGTTATTGAATAGAAATAACACAAATAGATAAAGAAAAGAAAAAGAACAGAAGAAATACTAATAAAAAAATTTAAAATCATAAGTAATTTCGTAGGCAAATTCAAAAGAATATTCATTCAAACAGCAAAAAAATATTTTCTCAAAAACAAAACCTGTGATACATTTCTTAAATGAAGAATCATATCAAGTATGTTTCCTATTAGAATATATGTTCATTTCAATTGTTCTATTTTCTTCTAATTTTATTATACAATTTATACAAGAGTGTCATCCGAGATATCTAGTTCTTTCGAGCGTGAGAAACTTTGAGAAACTGTGGGAGAAAGAAGAAAATATTTCGCAATGATTTATGTTCATTCATAAGCAGTTCACCGTAGCTCATTGTTATGTAAAACTGTGTTTCAGAGAGAAATTTTTTACAGGCGCCTTGACATAGAGAAATATCGAATGAAAGTATGAATGGTATCGAACGAGTAGAGATCATTGTCAAAAAGTGAGAACTAGAAAATAATTGTGTATTAAGTGAATTGTTAATTGTGCTGCTTTGATTTAATATATGGATTTGTGCAGAAACGATGAATCACTATTTTCTAAAATATGGAAATCAGAGTTTAATAGTTTTAGAAACTTTGATGATTTTTCGGAGTAAAATCTCTTAAGTATGCAAATGTCATGAATATTACTGTTTAATTTAGGTATAAAGCAGTCAAATATATAAAAATTAATAAGAATAATCAGAGTGGTGTATATGTTATTAAAGGAGCTATTACTTAAATTTTGAGATATGACAATATTGGTGCAGAAACCTAAAATCTGACATATTAAAGTAAAATTTTATAATGGTAAATATGCTCAAAATCATCATTTTACGTTCATGGGTTTTTGCAGTTTTTTCATTCATAATGTTTTAGTTACTGTTCTTTTGAAAAAACCATATATGCTTCCGTTATACTGTTGAAACAAAGTAAAACAGTAAGAGCTGAATGGTACACTAGCGTTTCGTTGTCAAAAGTAATCTGACAAAACGTTCATTGTTACGAGCTCTTAGAAACAAGCAATCTTTTAAGTATTGAAAATATAAAGTTATCGACCATTCTCCTTTCCCGATTTGTCATCCAGTGATTCGTAACATCCTAATCCTTTACAAATAAATTGTAGGATCAACCTTTCTTGATGTCTAAAGAAGCTGTATTAATAAATGTTTTTACACATATTTTTACATTAAAGAAAATGATATATTTCTTGAAATCAAATATTTTCTTCTTCTTTTCTCTTATTTCTTATTTCAAAAACTACGTATACATTATATGTGATGATTATTTATTGTTGTAAATATTCGAGGTTTACATTAAAACTATTTCAAAAAACGGGTCGTGTCAAGATTGAAATTTAATAAAAAGAATTAAAGAATTTACCTTCAGAAATATAAGTAAAATAAAAACGGTTTATTGATTTTGCACGGCTTTTCAAATTTTTTGAAAATGTATTTTACCTTAACTCACTTGAACTCAATTACGTAAAATATTTTTAGAATTAAGAATATTCCTATATCTCGACTTTTAAAAAAATACTGTTTTTGATTTTCTTTTTAAATATTTTGGCATTTAAAAATAATTACAATAAAATAATATAGTTCCTACAAATTCCATTTATCATGAATAAAGTTTAAAAGAAATTAAAGTAAATAAATAAAGTAAAATGAAAATGTATAATAATCATCTAAAATCAAGATGCACAGACCACCGAATTGTTATAGACATTAAAAAAACTTTGAGAAGATTTAGATTAAAAAACCTTTAATAAAAGCAAAGGCAAAGCAATATATGAAAATTATATCAAATAAATTATAGAAATTGATAATAAAAAAATGAAAACAACAAGAAAAACAAAAAAATATCAAAAAAATACCAATACGATATATTTTAAAACGATTTAAAAGAGAAGGAAAATGTTTTTGAAGTGCAGAATAAATTTTAAAAACTTACTTAAATAATATTAGTCATAAATACTCATATTCATATTAAATTTTGAATTTAAATGTTTAAAATTTGACAAAAAAAAATAAATCAAAAGCGAATAAGAATAGAAAAGTTGCGAAGCATAAACTGAAAGAATAACGAAAAACCAAAAATGTATATCAAAAAAATGCTTCAGAAAAGCACAAGTATCATTGTTTTAGCCACAACATTGTTTTAAACAATAAATATATTTCCATGTTTAAAATTTGACAAGAAAAAGAAATAAATCAAAAGCGAATTAAAAATAGAAAAGTTGGGAAGCATAAACTGAAAGAATAACGGAAAAATAAAAATTAATATCAAAAAATGCTTTAGAAAAGCACAAGTATTATTGTTTTAGCAAAAACATTGTTTTAAAAAATAAAAATATTTCAAAGTTAAGAAATATTGAAATAGTCATATAAATACTTTTAAAAAATGTGTGATTTGAAATAAGTAATGATGACAAGAATTAACTAAAAGTAAAGAAAATAAAACATAAGAAAAGAAAACATTAATAAGAATAGTATTAAAAATATTCCGTAAGAATATAATAATAATTTTGGATGCAAAATATACGAAAAGAACCAAAAATTGATCGACTGTGAAGATCAGCGGGCAGAGTTCACTGTAAGACGCGTACGATACTCTCTCGAACAAAGAGTAGTACCGTAGTACCTATTAACGGTAAGTATCCAAAAGTATCACATCACTATCACTTTCAGCCTAACATAAAAATCAAAAAGTGCCTACGTACCACAAACGGTCTCATGATGTAAAACCACTAACTAAAAATGATCATATGATGCAGATTGTACATCTCATTTGATTTAAATACGTTTTTCTCCCACTAACTGCAAGAAGATTCACACTGGCTTTTACCTTCACTTCACAATAAGAAAAATTACTTTTACTAATTTACAATAAGGACTAATTTGGTGCAAAACGCTCGGTAATGCGGGGCTAAAGGAGGTAAGTGATTTTTACCCTTTTGATTTTTTTTGGGACATTGTTAGTAAGTGTACATATTTTACGTAAGGTCGTGAGTTTACACTTCAGAGTAATCGTCCATTTATTTGATTATACAATTACTTTTGTCGTTAATGAGAAGATGTGCTTAATAAAAAATTTTTGGCGATACATTCATTAGATTATCGATAAAGAACTTGTGCACTTCAGTGGATTTCAGTGTTGTTTTTTTGTAAGACAGTTGTAGTTTTTAATATCTTTTTTAAGAACTTTTAAGAGTTTTTTTAAGTAATTTATTTACACATTTTTAGACACAATAAAGAAATAACATTTTTCGTTTGTCTTATTATGGAAATTTAGATATTTTCGAGTATCTTGGGGACTATATTTGTTAGTACAGTTTTGTTTAGAGCAATTGAAAAGAATCATATTAACAACTTCAGTATTTCACATTTTCATATACTCTAGATCTTAAAAACGTTTTCAAAATACAATTTTTATAAATAAACACGCTCTATGTACAAAAAAAGCTTACTTTGTCTTTCATTTAAGAATACAAAATAGATGGATTAATAGCACAATTATTTTAAAACAGTTTGTGATATTGAAGTCGTAAAATCAAATAAAGAATGTATTTCAAAATTCAACTATTACAGTAACGCAGTTTTTGAATTTTTTAACAATATTTTTAAACCGTTTGACTTTTAAATTAATTTATGTTTATATTTTTGGCGTGATAAAAAATACATGTTTTTAGTAGATATAAAACAAATATTTTATATTCTTCTGTCAATACGTTTGCATTTTTTTGAACTAGTATTTTAGAACTCTTGCCGTACATTCAGTACATTTTTTCTAAGACATTTCAGAAAATTTTAACCGCCTATAATAAACTCTTCATATATTTTTAAGAACAAATCTAATATTCTTTGTATGTTATAATTTCTATATTTTTATGGTGCTTTTTGATCTTTATAATACACAATTAAAGAAAAAGCGTTTTGCTTTGTTACAGGAATTATGTTTTTTTGCTGTAATTTTGAGACCCTTTAGGAAATTATATTTCAGTATAGTTTTCATTACATTTTATTTAGATATTTTTGCAGATTTGTACTGTCGGTAATAAAATAGATTCTTCTTCTACGTTCTAGAAACGTCTTTTGTCTTTCGAAGATGTCAGTGGCGTAGTTCTATTTTTATTTCTTTATTATCTATTTCGTACTGTTCTTTGGTCTTTTGGTCTTTCACATTTGTTATATGTTGATACGTTTTCATTTTTTTTTTCTTCCTATATCTGTATTCTAATCTATCCACGTTTTCTTCGATCTTTTATCTTTATTGTACGATAAATTGGTTTGGATCCATTAAATATTTTGAGTATATTCCACTCGCTTTTTTATATGTCCAGATATATATATATATAATGGATATTTTGGGTAAACATATTAAAAATAAAACAAAAAACTACATTAGAACAATGAAGTTGTTGTATCTTCAACAGGCTTACCCTTGTGAGGATTGTACTATAAATTTAGCAGAATTACTTAACATTTGACATAATATAATTTGATTTTCTTTTTCTTTCTGTCAACACTTATTACTATGGTTTTCATGTCTCTTCTATTTTTATATTCACTTTAGGTTAGTTTGACAGAGGAAGTGTCTATGTTTATGCAAACCTTCATTGCAAATTTGATATAATATGTAAAAATATTTCGTTTATTTTCGCAACAGAGTTTATGTTATCTTATTTGAACAGATTATAGGAATAATCCCTATAATCTGTGTAATTTTTAAAGAACTTACTTTATTCACATTAATGTCATTCTAGTGCGATGTTAATCTTCCGGACAACTTTCTGGACGTTTCTCCAATATATATTCAATTGCAATTATTAAAGGGTAGAGAGTACACTGCATTGGAGCTTTCTTTATTATTTAAGGGTGTGTTAAGTTTGGTGTATAATTTTGATATTGTTTTTATATTTCTGGTTCCAATTTTGATATTAGGTACTTCTCTAAATGTATTTAGTAGTCTATTTGTTAAACCTGGAATATATCGCAAAAGTGGGTACAATGCATTTTGGTTATTTGTTGAAAATTCTGTTTGATCTGTCCTTATGACTTGTGAGACCAAAATTAAGTCTATTTAGAAGGTTCGCTAGGAATGAATTCTCTAACATGATCGTTTTAGTTTTTTTAAGCAAGAGAATATATATATATATATAAATATATATATATATATATATATATATATATATATATATAAAATATATAAAAAAACTTATGTGGAAATGTGTTATAACTTTAAAGGTTTTTTATGGTGTTATATTTACTTATTATTACTTAAATAAGATTGAAGTATATTTTATTTAGGTTCTATGTATCTTTTTTGTCATCGATTGCGTTAGTATTACTTTTGATTTGTATTAATTCGTATATCTTTTTTTTCTTTTTATATTACTCGGTTTTTAAAATTTTGATATTTTCGAAGTCAAATTTATGCTTCTTCTCATTTTCATCTTATGTAAGCGCAGTGATATTGATCTTGTCATATTTGTGAGAACGAATTCTGGATTGAAGCAGTTGACAGATTTGCCCAATATAGACACCTTTACAGTTATTACATACAATACATGGTATCTCGTGAACAAGATGTGATTTTTTAGTTTTGGAGTTTGTGTTTTTAGTATAGTAAAATATTTATTTAAAATGGTTTAAAAAGGTTTACTCGCCTATCCAGTCGAACTGATCGAATTTTTATCAGGTCTCAGGTCGGCTTCAGGATGCCTAAAAAGCTATTTATGTCTACCACACACTATCAGGTACACCGGACAGGTCTGCAGGTTTACCTGATAGTGAGTGGCTGGCCCTACATCGCTTTCAGGTGATCTGAGAATCTATTTCTTTACGCCACACACCATCAGGTACACCTGTCATAGGTGCACCTGACAGTAAGTGTTCGACACAATGTTTGAAGAGATTTATTTTTATCTCTTTGCCTTATTACAAATATTTTTCTATAATTGATCGATTGTGGTTGAAATCTATATAGATATTATTTTTAGTATTTATTCTTCATGAAGTGACATCCTTTAATATACAACGATGATAAATAATGTCAAGCAACTTTATGGGACTGTCGAGTTTATTACCTTTCAGTGGATGGGATATATAATTTTCATTTTCTGTCTATTTGGCATTTTCAATTCATTTAGAATGAATAATAATACACAGTTAATATTTTTTTATGGATTCTTTTATGTTTAGCAAATTATAGGTCATCAGTTGCATTGTGGTTTTTTTATTAACATTCATTAGAACTAAATGCAAATTCATTTTTTAATTATTATCAGTAACCGAACCTTATATTATAATTAAAACAGGCTGTGGATCTCACATTTAAGAGACAAAAGGTTAATAAATGCTGAGAAGAGCGCTAGGGCCACTAAATTTAATTATGAAAGTAAAAAAATTGTCAAGAACAGTTAAACTGCGGCTCTACGCGACAGTAGTCAGACATTCGAGCAAAAAGATAAAAGAGGGAATGTAAAGGTAGTGGGAACAAACATATTGTTAGACAGGAAGTGCTATCTTGATAGGCCACTTTAAACAAGGAAAGACAGTCTCTTTCCTTGTTTGAGAAGTCAAATTTAGTTCGGTTGTGTTATTGTTTGTCCCAACTGTCACATGAAATTTTATTTATATTGAAGTTTTTTACCAATTGTGTCACTTTTTAGACTATTATAGTTAATATTTAATTAAAACTTTCTCGTCTGAAAAATATTTTTATAGCTATTGTTAATAAGTGTTGGAAAATTTAAATTAAGCGCCTTTGCATTTCCGGATATGTCCGCCATCAGAGGCCACTTTTTTGGTCTCCTTTTCATAACGATTAGATTCTTTCTTTTATCTTTTTGCTCGATGAGTCAGACCCACGGTGAAGTATGCCAGAGAAATTTAGATTATAAAAAAGAAGAGAACCGAAATGTTAAAACAATACTGAATATTTTGGCATAAATTGGTAACACTTATTTGACAGTTGCGGTGTTGACACTTTAGTGTTGTTTTTATATTTACTATTGATTAAACTATGTTGTTTTTTAAACAAGCTGCTCAAATTGTTTTTAACAAGATTTTTTTTAACTCTTGTTTTGTTTCTATTTATTTACGTTAAATATTAATTTGTTTTGTTGTATAATCCACTTTTACAATAATTATGTGAACTATTTGATTTAAAATGGATTCAGGATTTTTATACTTTGGCAATCTTTGGAATCTCTTTTATACTTTGGAAACTTCGATCTCTGTCAATGATAATGACGTGCAACGGTAAGTAAATTAGATGGACTATATATATATATATATATATATATATTATATATATATATATATATATATATATATATATATATATATATATATATCCATTTCGATCTTAAATAACTTTTTTAGTTTTTTTTCCGATTTTGATGAAATTTAAAATCTATATTGACAGCGCATATCTAAATTAAAATTTACAAGACTAACAAAAAACGGAAAGGAGGATCCAAGAAAGGGACATTTTTATAAATCCATGTCAATTTTACATGTCCCATCCACCTCAGACGTCCTATTTAATATGTTTTACGATATTTGATTTCTGGTATATTCTATAATTCTATAAAGTTCGAAGTTGTATCGTCTTTTTAACACTTCACTGTCATTCACTGCTCCATAGATTCGTCTTAGTACCTTTCTTTTGAAACATCTTAACGTGTTTTCATTACTTTTTGTTAGAGTCCAGGTCTCTGAACCATATGTTAGGACTGGGCGTGCATTTTTGCA